TTAGGACTCAGTCTTATAAGTCAGACGATGGCAGGTTGCAAAAGTCGATGCAGAAGTGGATTTTCAGGGGCCTGAACATGGTGGAATAGAATAGCATTTCAGCCCATTTAGATACCTACTAGATGAAGCAGAATCTGGGCTTAGGTTCCTTAGGCTTTTTTTTTTTTGGAAATTCCAACCCAATATGATAACTGTACTATCTTTTAGTTACTTCTATAGTACAACTGCCATAGGGCCATTTAAAACACTCCACTTATCTTTATCTATAATGCTACCTGGTTTTGCAATTATATTTGCTTTTGGATGATTTCCTTCCACTTATTTTGTACTCGTTTATACACCTTGATGGAGCATAAAATATCAGTGCTGTATCTACAAGCCTTCGCTCTTCAGTTTACAATTAGTTTTCCTCTCCACTCTCCATCATGAGATTCAACGCATACCCATCTTCACAGAAGACACAGGCATGCAGATAGAGAAGTTGAGAGTTCAGTAATCCACATCTTCATTTTAATTTTGAGCCAGACATCTTGAACCATGCTCTTAGCAATAGTTTCTGTACAAAGATTGCACTACAATTCTTGCAAAAGCTACAATTTTTCAGAGCGTGCGCTTTTAAAATGATAGAGGAGCAGATTGCTTATGACCAAATGAAGCGTTTTTGTCTTCACTTCTGGGAGGGCAACCGGGTTGTTTTCCTTCTGTGGTGGAGAATTGAGGACATGGGGTTTGGTTACATTGTGCGCGTTTACACGTGTGCATTTACTGAGGAGTAACCCAAAATTACTGCATAGTATGGGTGCGTGTCTACATGTGCATGCCCACACTGCACAGTAAATATGGCGGCTTTTGCCATCATGCAGGTATAAAATTTACACCCAATTAGTTACTGCACAGTAATGCATGTGTAGACACCTTACTGCGCAGCAACACTGTATGTGTGGACTGACTTGGGACTAACTTTAGCCCCAAGTCAGTCCACACACCATTAATGCGCTTTAATGCCTGCACACGTAGACACCAGCCTATTCCCACCTACTACTCAGTAACTTACTGTGCAATAAATTGAAGCCGGTGTAAATGCATGTGTAGACATGCCCATTGCAGCATAGTCAGTCATACGAGTTTTCTGAGGTAAAAGTGAGAAAGCAGGAGCATTTATTTTCTGATTATTTTCTTAGATGAGAGAGTCACAATGCAGAGAGTGATAGCACCAACTACATTCCTGTTCTTAAATAGCCAGCTGCTTTATACAGTGATTTTTCATCAATCATAAATAAATTCAAAGAGATGGGGTGGCGGGAAACCTCTCAAGTAATTATTCTCCACCTGCTTGTGGACTGGATTTACAGTGGGCAGTTTCAGGAGATGTGGCCCTGAGCTTTCTTCAGCTGTGTTTGATGTCTCAAGCTTGCAGACAAAGTAAATAATTTGATCCATGTATTGGACAAATTTAGAGGTCAAAGCTGACAAGCCTTCAAGACCACACAAGTTTCCTCCTCCTGCGGTGAATCGTGGAATGTGTTGGGGAGAAGCCACTACAACTTTCCTCCCTGATGTATTTTTCTCAGCTAAGTTTGTAAGCCTTGCCATAGCTGTTTTAAGATGTGTTGGCAGCTCATTCCACTTTAAGTACATGTCTTGAAAGTTTGAGGGGATTGATGCTTGAAAGAAGTGGGTATTACACAGTTGGACTGTAGAGATTTCCAGTCTCTACATTCTTGTGGGATCTTAATGACAGTGGTTGTTATATATTTTATGTTAATACAAGAGACATACATTTTATAGCTAAGACCCAAATTCTGTACTTACTGCAGACAGTGGTGTAAATCAGCAAAGAATTTGGCCCTCATTTTTTTCAGGTAGCTGTAAAGAGTATAAAAGTGAGTAATAGAGCACTTGAGAAAAAGAAGATTCGTAAAGTTGTCCTAATAGAGTCTATCGATGTGGAGTTCTTACAAAAGAAATTGCAAAAGTCCACTGTTTAAGGTCATTTCAGACTTGAAAAATTACAGCTGGGTGAGTTTTACCAGGGAGACTACACAAATACACACTCAGATATGTAACTGAATTCCCTGAGACAATATATGCAACTCTCCGTTTTCATTTTTCATGAATATTCCAAGCAGCTAAATTTCCTGGCAGAAGCAATCACTGATATAGTGCATTTTAAATGAATGTTGCAGAACATCTCAACTTGGAATCTGTAATCACAGCTACTTACACTAGACCCATGCTGCTATGAATTATGCTTGTGCAATGAGAAAAAGGGAAAAAGCATATCATGCAACCTGAGCATCAGCTACCCAATGAACAAGCTAAAGAACAAGCATCAATTACCATAATTCTGAGGGAGAATATATGTAGGAGAATGAATAAATTCAAAGAAAAAAAGTGAAATTAGCTGAAATGCAAATATGCTCCCAGTTATCCACACCCTGCTCTACTCAAAATAGATATACCTTTATTGAAATGATTTCCCTAATTTGGACTAATGAACTCTTACAAAATCTAGAAGTAAATGAGCTTCCCATATGTTTTTGCCAGCTGCAAGATGTGGGCGTAGGAACTGAGGTCCCCTTTCCATTGTGCTGGCAGGAGACCCTGGGATCTCCATGGTGGCGCTGGCCTGTTGGGAGGGGCAGGCAAAAGTGTAAGGACTATTGTGATTTTACTGCAACAACACCCAAAATTTGCCAGGTCCTTTCTAAACACAGAGGAAGGATTGGTCCCTGTCCACCAAGAGTGTTCAACTGTACACTGTCATCATTATGCCCAGTGGCATCACCTACCATGGTTACAATTTTCAAAATAGTTCAGCTCCCATTGGGGAACCAAGAAGTGATCAGATTTGCAAGGGAGCCCATCCCAGTAAATGCTTAGAGCTTCTGAAAATAGGGGCATAAGTGTTAGAAGGGAGCTGGTGAGTGCTTGGCACCTCTGAAAATCTTGCCCATGTTTGACGGGGTTGGAATTTCGCTGCATGTGGAGGCCAGGCACCTGGACATCTCTGTTTTGGTCTCTTCTGAATCCATGCCACCGTCTCCAGGAAGACGTTACCTGTCCTTGGAAACATGCAGCTTGAAGACTGACATATCAGGGAATGGGTGCATGAGTGAGTTAAGGTCAGGGGAGCCGGGCAGAGCTAGAAGTGTCATAGCCACCTAACTGCAAACGCTATAGGGATCTTGCAGATGAACTCAGGGGATTCACATCAATGACATGAAACTACTTCACCCCAGATGACTTCACTTTAACCAGGCTTCCATTAGGGCTAGAACTAAAATGTGCCCATCGCTCTGCACTGAAGCTATATCACTTCACAAAAGTTCCCAACGTCTGTGTTTTCTATCAGAGGGTGGGTGCTGCTGTGTCACTAGGACTAGGTACAGACATTCAAAATGCCCGAAGCAGGATCGATCTAAGTTGCATGGTGTTCTGGAAGTGGTGTAGTTTAGATCAGAAGCAAACAAAATATGCGTTTGCCCTTTGGTGGGGGGTGAAATCTTAGACCAGATTCTGCCATTTTTAAACCAGTCTGTGCGCGCCAACTTTCTGTTATGTTATGGGTATGGACCACTTTCCAATCCCTTATACCAGTAAAAGTGTAATGTCTGTACCTGGC